ACGTCGAATTGGCGAATATGAAATTTATTCAACGGAAGTTAATTTTGTGCTTGCATTAATCTAACCTAACCTAACTCTTTGCGATTCCTCTTTGAAATTGGACAACGATTTCAGTGAATTTTATTAGATAGGAAGGGGAATAAAAGTAGCGAAGTATTTTTATTTCTCTTACATTTTTGGTCGAAATATACTCGTTTTGAAAAATAAGGTTAATCTTCGTATAAAAAGAAATATAGGAAACGTGTATGGCGGAAAGCTACATATACTCGGTCGAAGATTAAAAGAATTCAGAATGTATCGTTGGGGGAAGGGACTGACTGCTCCATGAATTATTCGTCTGAAAGAATGAAAATCCACGCGACATGAAATCGAAATAAATCCCTCCCCCTCCCCTCTCTTTATACGGTTACAGGTAACGCGGTGGTATACGAGAGAGATCGTGAACTGCGTACAATAGTGCGTAGTTTTTTCTTTTTTTTTCCGACAAGAATTGTTAAACGCGAAATATCCCTCTGTCGGAACGCAAAGGCGGAAGAATTTCCGGAAACTTGTGAAAGTACAGTGACCTACCTGGGAGCATAGCGAGCGCATTGCCTTTTATCGAGATCGTTTTCAAAAATTTGAAAAGAAAAGAAAAGAAAAAAAAAAAGGAACGAGATTATATATAACGCGTCGAGAGATATTTTAACAAATTTATCCCTTCTTTTTTTTTTTCAAATCAATTTATTCATCTACAATTTCCATGGAAATGTAATTGTTTATCGAGGTACGTTGTTTACGTTAATTGAAGCGGTATTGTGTAACGGTAAACTGGTCGATATGATCTCGAATTAATGTTAGTTAATGAATAACTAGTTAGTTCTTCTTGCATGGATACGGTTAATTAAGAGAGAGAATCTAAAATTTTCTCTCGTAAATGAATATTTATGCAAGTGGATATTTTTGTAGGGATAATGCGGGTATTGATCGTGCGGTCGCATCGAAACACGATGTTTGTTATTTAAAAATATGGGGAAACAATAATGAAAAATGTCGGAACACGTGTAAAGCGTACATCAAGAGAATCTGACATATATAATCCACTCGCTTATGGAAATCCATCGTTCTTTCCATCTTTTCTTTTCAAACACTCAGAGGAGCAGGTTATCCGAATTTATTACCATTTTAAAAGAAAACGATACGTAGGAATAACGTCTAAAAATGATAAAATACACCGGGGGGGGGGGAGAGTTTACGCTCATAACTTTCTACGAAAATGCTTTCTTTAATCAAAAATGCAATTTACATAGCATCCATGTATAAAATTAATTTATTAAATCCACTATAAACTTGACAACTGTTCCTTATTTAAAAGTCAATTTTTAGAAACAAAAGCAAACTTTAAAACTTCATCCACATCGTTCAAGCAAAATTTTGTACAATATCGAGGAACACATTGTGATGATAACTGTTTCACCTTATATAAAAACATATGCATAAATGATATTTTAAAAATGTCTCGGCATAAGATGACTCAACCAGGTTGTTTGAAGAAGAAAATTGTGAATAATCGGCAGAAATATCGAAAATTTCAAAAAATACATACTTCAGCATCATCGTGAAATACATTTTGTTTCGTACGAAATCTTTATTTCTTTCGATTGCTCGTTCGAGCGTGTCGTGCGCAAGAGCTAACGCGCAGCGTCTCTCGACACATGCATAACACGGGCTCTTTCACCCACTACGCTCCTTGAAGCGTAGAACAAAAATACTAGTGAAAAGGCTAGGAGTCTAAATAATTATTCATATATATATATGTATTATTCACAATCATCACATAAGGAATAATTGATAATTTTATTTTAGAATAAAGTTGTTGAAAATTTTCGTGGAGAGAGGGGGAAAGCACTCACCTGACTGTGCTCCATGCGCAGGTGCAGCGGGCGCAGGGGGCACCAGGCCGGCTATGCTGTACAGCGTCTGCCCACTCCCGTACTTGAGGCCGCCGCAATGGCAGGGTGTGGTGGGGGTGGGAAGGCCCTCGCTGCCCCTGATGGCGGCGCCGACCACCGAGATCTCGTCAAGCTCGTGACCGCTGTCGTAGTGGCACAATCTGGTCGCGCTTGTGCTCGCGCCACCTCCTCCGCCCCCGCCCCCCTCCCCGCCCCCTCCCTCCCCCCGGCCGCCGCTGCCGCCCCTCCGCCACCGCTGCGGCCCCGAAGCGACTGCACCAGCCGCTTGGCGCCCGAAGACATTCCACGGAGGTGATCCAGCCTTCCGGTTCTTCGGTGCTTCCTGCCTTCGCCGAATACAGCCCCTACGACGACATCCACCTACGATTTTGAAATTTTATTGATATTCTTCGATTGGAAAGGATGCGCGATTGGAGAGAACGAGATATTATACGTGGTCATCTTCGATGTGTCTAATGCAAATCTTTGAAAGTTGTCCGAATAGATGTGGCAGCGTCTTGGAATTAATTTGGAAATTTCGAAACTGTTGATATTGTTTTTCAAAGATGAACGATACGAAGATGAACACATTGGCGAAAGAAATTGAAGAAAATTGATTTCGGGTATAAAAAAAAATAATGGATTTGTATGTGCCGGCCGATATTTCGGACAATGTGGACAGTCGAGCTCGGAAAGTAAACAAACCAAATCGAAATAAATAACGGATCTAGTGTTATTTCATACTTTTATTCGCGCAATATTTACACGATCCCATGTGTTTTTCATCATTTTGTGCCCAGTTACTTTTTTTATCGCGAGTAAATTATTATCCAATTTATCCTTGATATTGAACAAGAGACACAAGAGTCGATTAAATATTTTAATGCGAAAATCAACTGTTCGCCGTATTAATCTTTGTAATTTGTATTTCGATATTCAAATTGTAATTTAATTTAGTTAAGTTAATTGTATTCCGTACTAGATTATGAATTAAACTATCGTTAAAATTTTATTTCATTTTATATGCACATCAAATTATATATTACGGTAGATAAAAATTCCAATTGCCAAAGAAGTACTCTCAAATTTCCCAAAATCAATTTAAAAAATCAATAACAAAATAAATCCAAAATACGAAATCTCACCGAACAAAGATATCCGTCGTCTCAGTGAGTGTCCACCAATTGGGAGTTATCAGCGAAGATAGACACACGCACACACAACCTCGACCGGTGTCACCGGCCTGAGCGCACGATCACGTTCATGTTCTTTCTTCCTTCTTCTTACGATCGACCCTCTCCCTTTCGCGCGATCAAACTCGAAACCGAGATCCACCGATCTTAGACAGAGCCACGAAATACGCGTGCACTCAGCAATCGAGAAACAAAAGAAATTCGTCTTAACGGCATCACACGATTACCACTCGCGATTTGCTCAACGGAGGATCCTCGAGCACGAAACGCGGTTTCTCACGAACCCGGCTAAAAGGATATATCACCGACATGCCACGAGTACGTATCGAGGAAACGCGAGATTGAACAGAATTCACGACGCGCGCATACACCTATCTCTTCCTTTTCTCTTCTTTCTCTCGCGTTTTATTTCGAACGTTGACTAATCTCGTCGCACTGAAGGAACACACCGTGTATACGAGACTCTTTAAGGGACAGCAGCCGTGCAACAAGTGTCTCGGGTCACGGTACTCATGTCACGTGCTTGCCTGCACTCCTTCTTCGACGAGCTCTACGGCGAAGCACTCAATGCTCCTCTTTGTCCTTCGCCCTCTCGCCAAAGCGATCACGATTTAACTTCCACCGAAGTAGTGTATAGCGCGGTGGTACCTGCAAATAGAAGACGACAGTTAGTTTGGAGAGTGTTGTTTGTCGAGAGATGGATTTAGAATTGGGGTGAAATTTTATTCGACTTTGAGAATTTATCGATCGATGGTTTTTGGACCATCGGAAAAAAAATTGAGAGGGAATTATAATTTTTTATATTCTGTGTATAGTGATATATATATATATATGAGATATATTCTATTTCTTTGCTAATTTTTAGCAATTTCTATTTTAACCTGTGAATTTATGGTATTTGTTGGCCACGAAAAATGCTTACGCAGAGTAGCAGAGGTTATAAGATTTTTGTAGATTTAGGAAACATTTTTTTACATTAGCTAAATAAATATATAAATCACTGTATAAACCGCTGCGAATATATTATCTGTTCTGTTTGATATAATTTATTATAAACAAGTATTTGTATTCGCGTATTATAATTAAGTTAAGTTAGATTAGAGAAGATCTAAAAAAATAATTCAATTATTATCAATCGTTACGAATAATTGAAACATTTCTGTGATTTTCTTATACGAGTTTAAGATTTGAAAAAATATTACAGCAACAAATAAAAAATAACGTTACAAATGAAAATAATCCATTCTATCGTTTTTCATCTTTTATCTCAAAATAAGAAAAACAAGTGGAATAATTAAATGGATTATAAACGAGGGAAGCAATATATTATGCAAAAACTTACACGAGTATGTAAGCATGTAAGCTGAATATCTGGTTAAATCGAACAAAAACATATCACTCGCGAAAAGTGAATCTTGTACAATAATACACGTTGCGACAAAATACACGTTGAAACTACCGTTTCAAACTGAAGAACATCATGGCGTCTGTTTGGTAGCCATCTACAGGCCTCATTCGTTACTATTTCCAACAATTCGAAAGTAGATTCGCGGTAGATAACTGTAGATAAATAAATCTTGTTATGCAAATGAAAATTATAAAATTACTTAAAATAATTAAAATACAATATTAGAAAAAAATATATATATCGTTTTTTTCTAATATCATATTTACTTCTTATTACTTTTACCAACAAACAAAGAGAACTACTTTAGTCAAAAAAATGAAATATATTTCCTAATTACACATCCTTATACAATATTTCCTTTGAAAACGCACACGCTTGATTTACACGACACAAATCCCTCGCATACAAATTAGACACGTCATTTAGAAAGCATCCTATTCCATTTATTTCCAAGGTAAATATCACACGAGACACGTTTAGAAGCGGGCAATGTATCTTGTTCATAATTCGTAAGAGGAAATTTACGCGCAGGTGTATGTTGCGAAGTCGAGTTAATAGGGTCCACCGTTTGAGAATTGGATACTCGATGCGATGAGCGAATAATGAGTCAGGGATTAGAAGAAGCATCGAGGAAATGGCTAATATCAATTATCCGTGACCTGAATTGGATAGAAGGAAGACTCGTGCGCCAGAAAGGTTTGAGGCAACGATAAATGACCGGGTGAATGAGTCGTGCGATTTGATATTAACAAAACAAGGGTCTCGGTTACCCTTGCCTGAACAGGGATGCTCTCACGATGAATTCTAGAGTTACATCCGACGCATTAATAACCCGATCAATTAACTCCGTCTTGAAACTTATTCCCCACGGACAGATTTCCATTAAATTACTTCGGTATCACGCGTAAAGAAGTTCTCAAGTTTCCCGATAAAATTTCGCGACTAGTATTTCACCAGATACGCTCGAGTATAGTAAGAAAAAAGTTTTCAAACGTAGAAGAACGTTCGATAGATTTTACATTGTTATTCTACGAGCGAACTTTTCAAACGCCAAGTTTGTACTCGGGTTATTTTCGAAGCGTTAGAAGACTGGCCTTTTACGCCTCTTAGCGTATACATTCTACTTAGTGTAAAAGTAAAAATTTTTCGCGGAGCCATCTCGACGCGAGGATACGAAACGTGACAAGAGGGGAAGAGAGAATGGACAAGCGCACTAGTGGAGCAGGACATTCAGCTGTCGCGTTCAGTTGGCTTGACGTATTATTTCCACCTATTATTCTCCCGTTGCCTATAAAAAGGACACTTTGACAGTAGCGATGACACTCGACGATCGTGATACGGGCAAAAGCCCGATATATCGAATTATTCCCGTGGACAAAGGACGGCGAATATCTCGTCCTGGACACCGTCCTCGCCAATCGTGGCCGCTTTGTTCCAGTTATTTCTTCCCCGAATATTCTAGATCTGCTCGCGGAACAGATCGAAGAAATTGGATCGCGAGGAAGAAAAAAAAGGTTGAAGTTGAAAATTCAACAAGCTGATAATTATTTCGATTCTTAATTAATTTTTGACATAAATAAATAAATAAATAAATAATCGTTCGTTCGATGACAAAAATGGACGTGAAAAAGAGAATTAAGATTTTTTCGCGTATCGTTTCGATCTCGTGAAGAATATCTACGAGCCGTATGATCGATCCGTCGGTTACGGGATAATACGACAAGGAATCGCATTTCTGTTTCACACTTAACGATGAATACAGACTCTCGCCATTATCGATTGAGACGAACTCGGTGGCTAGCCGTTCAATTTCGATAAATTAAACGCAACGTTATATATATATTCACGAATATGTGCACAATTCTAATTGGATGAAACTATAATCGCTTGAATCGTATGATTCAATTTGTCGAAATAAATATAATAGAATTCTTCTTCTCGAAAAAAAAACGCGTGTAAATTACTGCTAATATATCAAGCTTGAAAAATTACTTTCCAACTGGTTAAACGATTGTTCGTAATCTATCATCTTTAACATCACGTGTTGGACGATGCGACAAAAAAACGTCTATTACACTTGGTGGTGGATGTTCAGACAACGCTGTACACCGGATGAAACATTGAATAAAAAGTTGGAATCATTTTTCAAAAGGCTAACACTTAAAAGCTTCTAATAGTTTCGGCCGTAAGAACACGGCACGTAAAAGCTTCGAGAGTTTTGTTTGCAAGTTTTGCACCGCTTACAAATAGATAACTGTATGCTCGCCTTTCAGGAATTTTTAAGCCTTCTTTCGGACCGCGCGCAAAAAGAAAATGTTGAATGAATTATTCGAAATACAAATTCGAGAATATTTTTTGTTTCAAATATAGAAAAAAGAAAAAGTATAAAAGAAGATTAAAATGTGTGAATACTAATGAACTACTTTTTTAAACAATTCTTTGTACTTTGCACACGCTCTAATATTAATTTACTGCATTGAATATACGTATATACGTATGCTGCGTATAATTAGAGCGTTACGCATGTCCTTAATTTGAGGATACCGGCTTACAATTCTGCACATCGATCTTTCTTGGAATCTCGTATTCGCGTTGGATATATCGAATTACTTCGAGAAACGGAAAGAGATTTCAAGATCGAATTTTAATGCTGGATTTAACGATTATATCGATGTAAATTCGGATTTAAACACTTGCTATTTGAGGAAGTAATATTTCTTAAGAATATTATCAAAAATGTGAAATAATTTGCAAATTAATTCACTAATATAATTTTCTTA